AGGCTTCCCGGCGCTTATAGGAAGCTTAGGGCGAACGGGACTGGTCCGCAATTCACTGTCCATCTGCGTTACGAGTTAAACATTGTGCTTCTCGCTTGGAGGGATGGTTCAAACGGTACGCTTCTTCTGAAGCACAGATGAAGGGCGACATATCACTGTGGAAACCACGCTTAGCGCGCAACGGCACGTAGTCGTCTGTGTACGATACTTATGCACAACTGGCTTTTCACGCGGGGAAAGATGACACACTTCACCAGTGGAACGGGGAGAACGAAGCTTCGGCATCGGCGACGTGGCTTTCTGGAGTCTCGAGTGGGGCGAGCCTCTATCACGTTTAGAGGTTAATCGCGATAATCCGTCCGCAACGAATCTCGGAAGATCCCATTCGTTTTCGAGACGGAGAGCGATTGCTCACATTCCGTGAGCTCGGCTAAACTCCAGATGATGTTCATGCTCGGATCGGGAATGTGGGGCGGGTATCTGACGCGTAGATGGGGGCGTGGCTTAGGTTTTACGACCATAAGAGAGAATCTCAAGTACCTAAGGTTACACCTAGGGATACAAGTCTGCACCTGCATGCACTTTTACAACCTGCACGCGGCCCCATCTCAATCCGAGATATTACTCACAAGTTATCTAAACTTGGATGATACAGTAAAACTGACTTTGGTTACCCATATACTACACAGTCATTGCTTTGCTCGTACGACAGCAACGCAACCGTTGCTGTTCGCGACGACGTTTATGACGGCGGGCCATCAGTCGGTCGTTACGATCTATAGCGCCGAGACGCAAGGTCGCGGGGGTTCGTCGACAAAACGCCGCAAGTTCGCCCGATAAACCGCGGTTGGCAAATGGAAGGCGACGCGGTCACCCAATGTCAACCCAGACAACACGTGACTGCGCGTGATCGTATTTCGAAAGTCCCACTGTAGTGTGGAATAGTAGCTGCGTATTGATCTGCGACACTTGCGGTCGTTGCTGTCGTCCGACAGCAGCGTCGTAAGTGTCGCAGATCGATACGCACCCAATGCTGTGCGACACTTGCAGTCGTTGCTGTCGTCCGACCGACTATGCGTCCGGCCTTAACGATCGCACAACATGAGATGCGTGTCGATCGCCTGACGTGCGTACATGCGATCGTTACGATTAGAGTTACTACCCCTTTCAAAAAACGAGAAAGGCGTCGGGTGCAGACCATACACCACAAGTGACGACGGCCTCCAAGTAAATCTGGTTAGTAGTGGTTCATAGTGATAGCTGATTTTGGTAAATGATAGTTGTAATTAGTGACAATAGAATACAACTGCAACAGGCTAATCATTTCATTGGCAGAAAACATTTACATTTTGTGGAGGCCGTCGTCACTTGTGGTGTATGGTCTGCACCCGACACTCTTCTCGTTTTTTGGTGCTAAGTGATTTGGGGGGGGGGGGGCACGCGGCGGCGCGGCAGTCTGCTCGCCTGGCATGTTCGGAAATCCGTGGGCCAGGGGGAGTGTAGGCAGTCTAGGGGGGGGGGTGAGGGCAGTCACTTGACATGCGTGAAAAGCTGGAATGTTCGAGTTTACACTGTCTCGCTCGAGAGAGCCCAGGTGAGCAGACTGCCGCGCCGCCGCGTGGTCCCCCCCCAACTAAGTTAGCACCGAATTTCGATGTGTTGACGTGTTATTAAGGACAAGTGGTGCCAACGTAGTTGAGGAGGGGGGGGGGTAGTAGTTCACGAGGACAGAAAGCGACTTTTTCGCGTTTCGCAGCGCGAAACTGTTCGCTGCGGGAATCTCGGGTCCACTGATGATTCGCTGCGGGAACCTCGGGTCCACTGATGATCAGCGGTGGACCTGAGGTTCCCGCAGCGAAAATGTTTCGCGCTGCGAAACGCGAAAAAGTCGCTTTCTGTCCTAGTGAACCACACCCGTTGAGGGGACCACGCGGCAATGCGGCGTTTGTTCGCATGCGCTCTCCAAAACATACCATACCGCTACCATCCCGTTCGAAGCAGTATCGAAATACTGTTGCAACGTGGAGGGCGCATGCATAGTCGGGTCGTCCGATCGTAACGGCCGCACAGCATCAGATACGTATCAATAGTCGAATGATCAGGCAAGTCTGATGGGTGCTAGCGTAGTTGAGGGGGGCCACGCGGCGTCTATTCGTCTGTACTCTCCAAGGCTTAGTCCTGAGGGGCCGTTTCCATCGCCGCCGCGACGCAGTTTCGAAATACAGTGGCCCCTCAGACTAAGCCTTGGAGAGCACAGACGAACAGACGCCGCGCGGCTGCTAACCTTGCTGGGCGGGGGGGAGCCACGCGGCGGCGCGGCAGTCTGCTCAACTGGGCTCTTCTCGAGACGAGAGCAGTGTAAACTCGAAACATTCCAGCTTTTCACGCATGTCAATGTGACTGCCCCCACCCCCCCACCCCCCCTAGACTGCTCTACAATCCCCCTGGCCCACGGATTTCGCGAAATGCCTCAGGATTCGAGCAGGACCCTGACCGCAGCCAGCCCACGTGCCCGCCCCCCCAACTAGTTAGCCACCCGCGCGCCTCCCCTTCAACTACGCTCGCGGTAGTGCTCATTAACACAATCAGAAAAGTTGACCTTTTATCGTTTCGCAGCGCGCCATAATTCACGTTGGCAGGAAACACCTACCCAACTCAGGTTTTTCACTGATTTTTCGCTCGCCGAAAACCGCAAGATTTCTGTCCTAGTGAATGCCTATAATAGCCCGTCCTGATCGATCGATAACCCATTCTAGTATCTGCCGCTTTACGACCTCGTGAGCAAATATTCATGCGACAAAGCTAAGCCTGAGGCATAGTGATCGAATAGCACCCTTTGGTTCCCCTGCAACACTCTCCGAAACTTGTGTATTGACAGTTCTGCTTCTCACTTTGTTATGTACAATACCAGTGTCTTGCTCCGCCCGTATGCCGCGCGCATCCCTACGACCTAGATAAGACAGACACTCCAGTATCATTCTTATTCACACATACTCTGTAAACACATCGCATTCTCCTGAATTTCTCGATCCATTCAGTGAATATGGTACATTAATGGTGTTAGCCTCACAATCAAATTGCAACATTATCGTAAAGTGAGCATCTAATGCTGATCCTTCATTCATAGTGTTCGCAAATCCTAAGCTTTGGCGGTCATTAAATGAGTTCTGGTCTTCTTGGTATTAGATCAAGAATGGAATGTACCATTCGCCAAGAGCCTGCTCCAGCCAAGCTGATTATATCGATAGAATGCCCACGACCCACCCTTAAAAGTATAACAACATTATGAAAAGAGCCCCATAGTGCCAACGTGAACTGCGCAATGGAATTGCCGACTTCTGCCTTCTAAGACTCCTTATCAGCCCCTATCAGTTGCTATCATTTTTGTCGCCCACCTACAATGTCCAGGTACCGCCAGCCCCCAAGAGTACCACCGCCTATAAAAGCTTGCTAGTTTTTTATTTGACTATTTTATTTACCTATACTATATATCAAATACATTGGGACTGTAACGACAGTCTCAAAATAGGTTAAAAGACTTCGCGATAGAGCAATCGCATCGCAATGATCCCCCTCTAAGTTGAAATATCAGACCCACACAAAAATTTTCATTGATTTGTCCACAGAGCCAACTCCTTCTTTCCGATCGAGCACAATCCGTGGCATTTTCTTGTGTATTAATACCGTGTCGACACACACAATTGTGCTGATCGCGCATCGGGGATATCCGTACATATCCATCCACTCTCAGACTGCAAACCGAATTACAGAAGTAATGACTCATCCCTTAGCTCCATTCCATGCAAATGTTTTCTTTGGAAACGGGTGTGGTTCGCTTGGACAAAAAGCGACTTTTTCGCTTTTCGCAGTGCGATATCTCTCGGGAACCTCAGGTCCAACGCTGATCATCAGTGGACTTGAGGTTCCCGCAGCGAAAAATAAAAAGTCGCTATCTGTCCTAGGGCCGTATGTTGAATGTTGGGGAAAGGTTGGGAGAGTTCGTCGCAGGACCCACTTTGCAACGGTCGCACCTTTGATTTTGCAGCTTTGTTTCCATTCTTTTACTGTTCCTGATTGTATATTCGCTCGTAATACCTTTCTTCATCCAAAAGCAGCGATGAAAGAATGGAAACAAAGCTGCAAAATCAAAGGTGCGGCCGTTGCCCAGTGGGTCCTGCGACGAACCTCCCCAACCTTTCCCCATCCCCGTCCCCTCCCCAACATTCAGCATACGACCCCTAGTGAGCCACTCTTTGGGACGGTGGGGCCTGCAACATAAGGAAGTAATATAGTGAAAGGGGGATTCATTCCTCTTCCTCGCCGTCATTGTAATGCGTTTTTTCTATTCAAATTGTGTAAAACGTGTTTTCAGGTTGTTATGTCCGGTAGATCTAGACCATCAATACAAAGGATATTCTACTGCGTGGTTCGTAGCTTCCACAAATCATCAGCTAAACATGCTCGATGGCGCGATAGCTCCAAAATGGGACATATTACGCCGGACCTGGGCGATAAAAAACCAACGCACATTGTTGTTGGTGCAGGCTCTGCTGGAAGCGTTATGGGTACGAATTCCATCTAATTTAGTTTTTGAGATTTTGTTCTACCTTCATCGTAAGAGAGAAGACTTCTGTTTACATTCAAAGCCGGTACTTTGCGATTGCCTTGCACTTCGTTTGCAGTTCGAGTGTGGAGTTAATACGTACCTACTGATCATGCGATCGCCCGGCTCCACTTTCGGTTCCTATCTACTCCACATTCAAATCACAAGGCAATCGCAAATTATGACCGCGCCCTATAGGCGCATGCATAGTCGGTCGTCCGACAGCAACGATCGTAACGGTCGCACAGCATCAGATACGTATCGATCGTCGAATACTCAGGCAAGTCTGACGATCGATACGCATCCAATGCTGTGCGACAGTTACGATCGTTGCTGTCGGACGACCGACTATGCATGCGCCCTATATCATACTCAAACAATTAGTTTGCTCTTCCAGCTTGTCGGTTGTCCGAAAACCCGAATAATCGAGTGTTGATGGTCGAAGCTGGCCCACAAGATTACTGGTGGGATTGGCGCTTACATATGCCGGCAGCGCTAATGCACAATCTCTGTCACGACCGATACAATTGGTATTACCATACAGTGGCACAGAAGAATGTGGCGAACCGAACGTTCTACTGGCCAAGAGGCAGGTCGGCTTGTGTCTTTGTGGTGCAGTGAAATTTTTCGATTCTTTTCGAAAATTCTCAGTTTTATTGGTTTAAATGAACTTTTCTCTTTTTTGTGGGGTCAGCCTTACCTGAGGTTGACTTTGAGTTGAATCTTTGCCAGTTTATCAACATTATTGGGAGTTTTTGTATCACGTGTCGTGATCTCAAAGCGCTGAAATATTAGGTTGTTCCATAATTAGTGTCGTTTTTCAAATGGAAGTCTCTCTACAGAAATCCATGCTTTTAAATCATGTCGTACACATCCACAAGAAAATCTTCTATTCTACGAAGCCGAATACTTCGCTTCCACCTTTGTTTCGAATAGTATGAATTTCATGCCTGCCAAATAGGAGGTCCATCATGTCAAAGTCTTCAAACCAGCAACAGTTCTAGAACCTTCTAGTGAAAATAAAATCGAAGCCTACGTCCAAATAGGCTGGGAAAAGATCTGTAATTGTTATATGACATAATTAACACGTTGACGACAATCTGACGCGCATGCGCGTCAGAAATTTGGCACCGCATCGGACATTCTGACGCGCATGCGCGTCAGAACTATGTCATTCATTTTTATTGTGCTTGCGCTCCTTCTTCTCGAGTTTTTTGTATTCATTCTATAGATAATACATTAGCATAACTATAAACCACATGGCAGTGGTCAAATATCCCTTGATTTAGCAAAGATTTTCTGAACGCACAAATTTTCATTCAATTCTTTCCTAGTATTCCTTTCACTGTCGTAACATTCATGAAAGATTGTAGAAGAAGTTAATACAAAACTCTGTGAGTTTCAAGATATTTGTATTTGATGGAAAACTTAGGTATAAATGCTTTTAACTTCATTCGCAGCGAAAGTGATGTTTTTTGCTTCTTCGTGGTCATTATGCGTTCTTCTAAACAAAATTCTACTGCTATTTATATAGGTAACCTCCAAAATTTCATTCCTTGCCGAAATAACCCTATGAGATTCGAATTTTTGGGCGTTTTAACACGTTGGCGACCGCCGTTGTGCGCGTACTGCTTCAACATTTTTCGTATTCTCTCATCAATAGGCATCAATCCTTCAGCGTTTTCATTATCAGTAATGAAAAAATTGTTTTTCGGATCCAATAATGTACATGGACCGTTGTGGAACAGGAAAAAAACGCCAAATAAATCAAGGAAAACTAGTCTGCTCCATGTGAAAGTGTGGTATGACATCATACCATACGGTCGTCAACGTGTTAAACAGAAAATAGGCGGAAGTAAGGTGAGGACGGCGCTCTCGCAAAATCGTTCTTGTCCCACTCGGCCAAAAATGCCAAAACACGCGATCTCGTCAACG